TCAGTTGCATTTCCTTGAAATAAGAAATGAATTCCAAAATAACTGGAAAACATTTCTGAAGCAGTGCTTGGATAAGTGCTTACAATCTGAAAATGGGATAAGGTAGGGTAGGATAGAATAAATTTAACTATGAAAATAATATTCTCCCCTGCACGGAGTATTTTAGTAAATATGCCTTTTTCTTCTTAAAACTAAGACATTCTACAATCTCTACATAAACTATTTTGGCTTAACTACATGCCTTCTTTGTTTGTTTGTTTTAAATTTGCTGTTGAAACAGATGTCTACAGCTACACAGGTAATTGATTTGTTTCCTAATAAATGTTAGATACTACTGCATGAAAAGCCAGTGTAACAACTTTTTAACTGAATTATATGATTACAAAAAGTATTTTACATTGGTGATGCATGTGTGTCTGTGATGCTATAGGTGTAGTTGCATAACTATATATGGTGTATTTGCTTTAGTTGTACATGCAGTACTGTCATAACTTTAGATAGATAGTAAAATATCCATTTTAATCTTAGCTTGTTGGACATGATTTAGGCAGAAGTATGCCTGTCTCTGTGTGTGTATGTATGTATATGTGTGTGTTCAGAATACACTCTATTGCAGAAATAAATGTAAGAGTCATTAGCAAGTATTTTTAATGCATACAACTGCAAATTTAAAGTAAGATGAACATCCAGATCATTTATTTATTGTCTGAATGACCCTATAGTAGTCATTTAACTTTTAAAGAATTCTTAGTTTCCTTCAGTTAGATAGCTAACAGTAGCTCTCTCATCACAGAAGCAACTTACAAATGTCCATGGGATGATGAAGTACTACCAAATTTCAGCTATTACTTTTCTTTTTCCATGCCTGAAAGATCATAGTTATGTCCACCAGAGAACCCAAAGGGAAGAGGGGGGATTGATGCACTTTTATTGATTGCTGAATGAATCTTAGGCCTTGCATATAACAATGTATGTATGAATATTGATAGATGGATAAATCAGGCCAAGAGAAGTATTGGAGCCTAAGACAACCAATACTTTCTTCCTTTTCAAAGCTCAGTAAATTTAAATCAGTCTAAAATTGTAGTCAGCATGTCTAGGAATCTATAGCACATATGCTCTTCTATTATTGAAGGAGACAGCTGCCTAGTCAATGTAAATTTTATTGTAAAATTGTTTAATAGAATTCACAATTATGGGAGGACAAACACACTTGAGACACTAATGGAGGGTCTGAATTTGATATGTGGAGACAAAAGGCCTGTCAGCCTGAACATCACTATTGTTTCACAGAGAAAGGTGGGCAATAAAAGACAGAAATTACCATTGAAAGGAAACTCACCAGATTTACACACTATCTCTTCTAACCCAGTCAGGAAGAAAATAGTGAAATAAGTGCTGAAGTTTTGGCTAATAAAAAAATATTATACGGACACTTTATCCCATTATACTCAATTACTCTGTACCATTTAATACTCAGAACTGTTTAACTCTTGAGGTTGGTGTGCTCCTGCAATATTCTAGTTTTCCTTTTATCAATTTAGAAGTGCTATTTGCTTCCAATTCAATGGCTATCACAGCTTCTCATCTCTGTAGATAGCCTTATCTGATACTTTGATTTCAGTTATTATTAATGGTTTAAATCCCTTCTTTGCAATGCCATGCCCACAAATTAAAAGCAAACCCACACTTTTCTATGAAATGCTAGTTGCATATCATTATCTTCAGAGTGTGAGTTCTAAGACCACTAAGAAATGTCTGAAACTAAGGATTCTACAGAAATCTATGTTTACTGCTTTTCCCTGCATATACATATTGATGATATTTGATGCACTAGGCACAGTAAGAGAGTCTAAACAACAAATAAAAACTAATAATAAATTAAAACAAACAATAGCCGGGTGGCTCACACCTATAATCCTAGCTACTCAGGAGGCTGAGATCTGAGAATCACAGATCAAAGCCAGCCCGGGCAGGAAAGTCCGTGAGACTCTTATTTCCAATAAACTACTCAAAAAAAAAAAAAAATCTCCAATAAAACACTAGAAAACTGGAAGTGCCTCTGTGGCTCAAGTGGTAGAGCACTTGCCTTGAGCTGAAGAGCACAGGGACAGTGCCCAAGCAGAGTTCAAGCCCCACAACTGCCAAAAAAAAAAAAAAAAGAGGAACAAACATAACAATATGCTGTTAACAAAAGATTCCCATTATGAATTATTCATTTCTAGATTTTTTCATATTTTATTTTAGACCACAGTTGACAGTGGGTAACAAAGCTCTCAGGAAAGGAAAACATAGATAGAGGAAGTTACTATACAATTAATGAGCATTTCCACTTCAAAATTTGGATACCAGTAGAAAATCAACATGTCTAGAGCTTTTTTTCTCTTTTTCCCCACAATGTGGATTTGAGAATTAAAATATTGCAGGTCTTCTTTTTTTATTTAACAACTGTTCTCAAAGAAATACTTGAAAACTTTTTGCATTTTGAAGATGCTGATTTTTCAGTAGCCTTTTGGATGCTGTTTCCTTTTATTACTTGATCAGTAATTTAATTCATCTATTATGTAAGAAGAGAATAAAGGGTAATGTGTCTAAACCCATTTCATGAAGTGAGTGATGAACTATAAAAGTCGTTGAACATTATAACTCAGTTAACGAGAGAAGTTGGAAAACCTATGTAGGAATTTAAGACAAGAGTAGAGGCCTATTTGAAATCATTTTAATAGTTTGCCTTGAAGCAAGCAGAATCAATGTACTTCCTCTGTTCCACTACTTACAAAGCAAGACAACAGAGCTATTTGAAGAGGAGATAAAGAGTCTAACCTCTTAAACTTTTTGCTCTTGGTCCCATTCCAATTCTATCACTCACAAATATAATTAGCTCAACATTAGACAAAAAAGATTTAGCTTTGAGATACATACTCTCTCATTTTCCTGGCAGTTAAGGTTGGGTATCTTTCAGGGGAACTTGATGTCTTCTTTATCAGTTCTTCCACAAGGATTTTTAGTGATTACATTTCCATTTACTTTATCACTGGCCTCAGGGCTTTTTTTTTTCCTTTTTTGAAAGGGGACTGGATATTGTTTCATTTAGTGAAACTAATGAAATTTTTTACTTTCTCATAAGGAATGCAAACTTATTTATATTTAGAGTTGAGTTTGTTTCCTAGAAAACATAGAAGAAGCAAAAATACCATGACAAGATTTTGGTCAAATGCATTGGTTTTTGTGTATATTTCTATATACAGCTCTGTTTGTTTATACAGTTTGCTGTTAATAATAAGTTTGTAAGAGTTCTTATTTTTTTTACATTGTTGAGCTACGGATTATTATTACAATAGAGGGCATATGAAAATGGTGATATTTTGAGTAAAATGACTACAATCCCAAATATGGCTCTTTTTCTCATCAACTATGTAAGAGCCTTCCTTTTATATCTATTCTAGAACTGACAATAAAATCTCTGTTTCAAGAAGATTTGTGGAATTAACCAAACAGTCTCAGAAGTAGTATCAATGAAATTAATATTTTGACAATTAACATTAAAGCAAGATTAAAAGCTATCTAATGACTTTAAAGTACTTCATTTTCCCTCTACCTGGCTTCATTTATACATCTTTTTCTCCAGTTCACTTTACTCTAAGTAGCTTTGGTTCATTCATATCCCTCAAGAGAGCTAGCTTTCTCAGTCCTCATGGCCTTTGCATTTACTATAACTCAAGCCTAAAATATTCCTTCCCTATTTCATTGTTGTCATTTTCATTTTATCCAGGTCTCTGTTCCAAAATCACTTTCTTTCAGAGCCTTCAATATAAAGCTTATGTAAAATAGCACATTTTATAACATTTTATCATTTTTATACTCACTGCCAACGAATATTATATAATATTTTCCTTTATTGTCTTGTTTAAAATTAAGCTTCACAAAATGCAAGTTCAGCTTCACATTCTCACTAGTGCTAACCCAGCACTCTCAGCAGTATCTGGTGCATATTTGTTTGATAAATGTTTTGGTCAAGCAACACATAGGAGGATGAATGAGTGAATGATTTTTCCTTAGTCTTTAATCTGTACAAAATATTTTTGGAGTGCTTTATATTGACCACTTCAGGAAGTGACACTGTGACTCAAGTGGTAGAATGCTAGCCTTGAGCTGAAGAGTTCAGGGACAGTGCCCAGGCCCAGAGTTCAAGCCCCACGACTGCCAAAAAAAATAAATAAATAAAAATAAAAATATATATATATATATTAACCACTTCATTGGAAATAGGCCTACTAAAATTTACTAGGGATAGCACTCAGGCCTTTGGATAGTCTAGACAAGAACTCTACTTCTGAGATCCAGCCCTTGTCCACACATATTATTTTTGAAATGAAGAAAACAGATGTTATGAGTCCAATTAATTTCCCCAAAGCTACAATAGTAAATTATAGAAACTGACCTGCTTTATTCAGGAACAGAATCTCTAAATAATTACTGTAAAGCTGTTTTTGTCCAGCTGTCTTTATATTAACTCATGTTCAATTACATTTTTGTAAAAAATGTACTGAACTGACTACCAAAAGTATATTTATCTAGCTGAGTTTTACTACCAAAAGTACCGAACATGTTCAGTGGCTAATAACAGAACCAAAATCTCTAAAACCAGTCTGGTGATCAAAATGCTATATATATATATATATAGATAGATAGATAGATAGATATAGATATAGATATAGATATAGATATAGATAGATATAGATATAGATAGATATAGATATACACATATACATATATATATTACACACACACATATATATACACACATATACACATATATACACACATATATACACATATATGTATATATACACATACACATGCTTGTTTGCTGAAATATCACAATGAAACTATTTTATTCAATTAATATACACCAATAAATATTTTTCCAAAGAAAGGCTGAGGGAGATTGAAAGAGCTAAGTAATCCATGTTTTTACCGGTGACAAGGGCATGACTTACCTCTAGGTGGCCAGCTATCACAGCAATGTGGAGGGCCGTGAGGCCACCATATCTAACCTGCTGTATATCTGCTCCACTGTGAAGCAGGGAAGTGATGAGTTCTGCACTATCCTGTAACAAAACACACCATTAATGCTATTCTTCCATTAATGGCAGATTGAAAATTGTGCAACAGGGTGCATTGATTCCCCCTGAGTGGCAGCCAGTTTTCAGTGCTTAAAGACGACCTGAGTATGATTTCTGGCATAAAAATACATTGGATGCCTTAACTCCAGCTATCACCATGTGGAAATGTAGGGCCAAAAAAGAGAACTGATGCATGCCAGCCAAGCCATTTGGCCATGAAAACAAACTGGACATTTAACTTCATTGACCCTCTTGGAAACTAAAGTTAATCTTACGTGTAGATCACTCAAATAAATATGATTTTTTTAGCAACTTAAATTAATCTTCAGGAAATCAAGAGGTGATAGAAACAATGGCCACTTTTAATTTTCATTTTTTTATTTTTAGAGATGAAGAGGAAATACTTCTAAGAAGAAAATATAAATCAAAATAATTGTTGATGCTAAAGAAATTGCAGCTTACTAAACTGATTTATGTTATCATATTTTCTGTAATATGCATTATCATGAACTTATAAGTAATCAATAGGACTTTACAAATCAGAACATTTTAAAGGGTAACATAGGCATATATCCACTAAGCTTCAGATGTGAATGTAAATGCAAAAATCTCCAAAATAAGTATGAAAATTACAACTTCCTTAATACACCCTTATCAGCACAGCAAGAGATTAGAAAGTAAAATATTTGCTAGGTGTGGTTGCTTGTACACATAATCCCAGCTACTCTGGTAGTAGAAATCAGGAAGATCTTTGAATTTATCTGGGACAAGAGTTAGTGAGACACACCTCTCCAACTCAAAACAACAACAACAAAATAAAAACACACAGCAAAAAGAGCCAGTATAGTGACACATGTGGTATTACCAGTTATGTAGAAGAAGTAGGTAAAATGATTGAGGTCTGAGGCCAGTCCTGGACAGAAGTAAATTACCTTATCTGAAAAGTAACTAAAGCATAAAGGCTGGGGAGTATCTCAAGTGACAGAGTACCTGTCTAGTAAGAATAAGACCCTAACCACAAAAACAGAGGAATGAAAATAAACTCTCTGGGACAAATCATTGCATTTATGAATTACATATAGTTTTTTTCAAAATAAAAGATATGTGAAATTCTATTATTTAAAAGGCCTTTTGATTTTTTTTTTTTTTTGGCAGTACTAAGGATTGAATTCAGGCCTTGTACTTGCTAGGCAGGTGTTCTACCATGGGAGCCACACCTCCAGCTCCTGACCTTGAATTCTTAATGCATGTAGATCTAGAAAATAGTTTTGTTAATAGAATGCTAAGAAAAAAAAAATGAACTAAAACAAAAACAAAGAAAACAACAACTTTGAAGCTGGGGTCAGTGGCTCACCCCTGTAATCTGAACTACTCAAGAGGCTGAGATCTGAGGACTGTGGCTCCAAGCTAGTCTGGGCAGGAAAGTCCATAACATGTGTATTTCCAAGTAACCAGCAAAAGAAACAGAAAGTGCCGTGGTGCCTGCAGTAGGGCACTAGCCTAGAGCACAAAAGCTTAATGACAGCACCCAGGCCCTGAGTTCAAGCCCCAGGATCAGCACAAAAATCAATCCATCCATCAATCAATCAAATTTGATTTAAAGAGTGAATGCTACAGTTCCCAAATGTTCCCTTCTATCTACTTGCCATATTATTAATGCTAAATAAAGATTAAATTTTCAGTCTTTACTGTTTTATCGGCTTTATCTGGTCAAACTCAAAATTTATTATTTTTGATTTTTTTATTATTAATAAGTTTTTTATAGTGAAAATACCGTACAGAGGAGTTACAATTATATGAACAAGGTAATGAGTCCATTTCTTATCAAGCATTGCTGCCTGCTCCTTTGTTTCCCCTTACCATCCGTGCCCTCCCATTCCCCACTCTCCCTAAATTGTAAAGTTCGTTTTTCAACATAGTGTCTTGTACATCTCATTATTGCAATGGGTCAACCTGTATCACTATTTAAACAATTTGTTTTTTCCCTTCCCCTCCCCAAATTATACCAACCAAATACAGTAAAAATGGGTTATACCATGGGGGAGGGACATACAAAGCAACAAAACAATAACCTTATAAATATGTTAGAAACAATAGCAAGAAAGAAAAAAACCACTTGTATCCTTATCTTAAGGTTCATTTCACCTAACATCATCTTATCTGACCTTTTCTGCTTGACTCAGACATATACTAGATATTGCAAATAAGGGAAACCATGGGACCTATGTTTCTTTGGGCCTGGCTTTCTTTACTTAATATAATTTTTCCAAGTCTTTCAATTTCCTAACAAGTGGGGCAATGTCATTCTTTCTGATGGAGGCATAGAATTCCAATGTGTATATATACCACATTTTCTTGATCCATTCATCTACTGAGGGGCATCTGGGTTGGTTCCATATCTTAGCTATGGTAAATAATGCTGCAAAACAACATTGAGATACCACTTCTCTAACAACAGTTGTTGGAGGGGATGTGGACAGAAGGGAACCCTACTGAATTGTTGGTGGGAATGTAAACTTGTTCAACCACTTTGGAAAGTAGTATGAATGTTCTTCAAAAGACTCCACATAGAACTCCCCTATGACCCAGCAATCCCACTTTTGGGCATTTACCCGAAGACTATACTAAAGCTACCAGCACAACTAAAATCTATTTTTTTTTAAATTCGACCATATAAGATGATGTTAAGTGAAATGAACCCCAAGATAGGGAGACAAATACCTTTTTTCTTACTTGCTGTAGTTTCTAACATATTTATAATATACCATGTGATTGTTTTTGTTGCTTTGTATGTTCTTCCCCCATGGTACAAGCCCTGTCTTCACTGTATTTGATGTTGGTGCCCTGCATCTTGTACATACACTTCTCTAATTTGGGGAGGGGAAGGGAAAAAAGGATACAGGTTGACCCATTGTAACAATGAGATGTATAAAACACTATGTTGAAAATGAACTTTACAACTTTGGGAGGGTTAATTGTGGAGGTGGTGGTGGGGAGATCTAGTAGGGGGAAAACAAAGGAGGAGGCAACAATGCTCAGTAGGAAATGTACTCATTACCTTGCTCATGTAACTGTAACACCCCTGTACAGCATATTTATAATTAAAAACATAAAAAAATATAATTAGTAATCTAATAGCAAAAAAAATTCTGAATAAAAACAGACACATGATTTTATCCATTGAAGGAACTTAATTTTTTGTCCTTATCCAAATTTTCTAACCTTCTGGAAAAAATATAGATCCTACAAACTGCTCTGTCTCATTTCTGTAATCTTTCATGAAGGGTACTCAAGTCATTCTTTAGGTTTATAATATCACTCTCAACTGAGTGCAATGAATTCCCTTTGTGTTGAATCTTGTTTTTCCAGATTATTCTTGATGAGAGCACATTTCTTCCCCTCTCTACTTTTTGCCTTTCATTACCAAGAGAAATCATCACTACTACTTCTTCCATCTGAGGTCCTTAGAACCTTAGCATTCTTCTAAAACCACCTTGTCAGTATCAGAAGATAACTGTTCATCAAATCCCATGTGTTACCTTAAAAATCATGCTATTCCTTTCTATAATTGAATAATCTCTGTTCCCTTGATATCCTTTACCCTCTCAATTTAATAAAACCATGTCTTCCTAGTTTTCTTTTTATTATCTCTTTTGTATTTTTGTCTGTCTCTAAAATTGCATTTGAGAGTTTCATATTAAACCACTTTTTCCTTCTAATTATCACCTTTGGTAACTCATACACTATTTGAAAGCTTTGTCTTTGGTCCTGATTTATCTGATAAGTCTGACTCCATATATTTTGCTGTTAGACACATCTCAAATTTTAAATTACTCCGTGAGTTCCATTTATAATTTTCTCAATCTGATCTTCATTTTCTACCTTACTTATATTAATGGCACTTTCTTATTCCAAATTATCTAGAGATTATTCAAGTCAATCAGTTTCAGAATTCTAGTTTTAATGCATACTTCTTACACTTCTATTTCAAACATCAGTCTTCATGTGAAGTAACTTCCTTACTGGTCTTTTACTAGCACCTTTATTGCTGCAGTCCATACTCCACACTGTTGCCAGACACATTTTCCACTTTGCAATAAATCTTTTATATATTAAACAATTATTCTCTGAGCAATACCCTGTCAAACTGCCTTGAATAGTTGGAGATACTAGATTGATTAAGACAATCAAATCCCCGCCTAGATTTTACTGTGAATAGAGATGAAAAATAAACAAATAAAACATAACACAGTTGCATAAAGTATCAATGCCTATAAGATCAAATAGGCAAATCATTAAGTAATTAAGTGATCAGGGAAAACTTCACAGAGGTGACATTTGAGATAAATAGCAAATGCTAAAGAGGAGAAATCTTAGCCACAATTTAAAAGACAAGCACTAATAGTTAGTATAATGTTCTAAGATGGAAATAAAATTAGTCTGTCCATAAATTTGAGATATGATGCAAGGTATGATTGCAGCTCCTAGAATTAACCTCCCTAGTTCAAATTCCAGCTCTGTTAATGATTGTGTGAATCCGTTCAGGCTCTATTACGGAATTCATATAAACTTGGTATAATTAAACCCAGTGGAAATCATTACTGCCGCATATAGGTACAAGGAGCTCAGTCTAGCCTTCAGTGGAAACTTCCAAATAACATAGTTACTTGATGTCACATTTCTTTTTTTCTCTTTTACTTTATCTTTTTTCTACAAATGCAGTTTGTCTGTTTTCTTTCTTTTCCACTCAATCAATCAAAGATATAAAATATAGAATACATTTGGCCAGTTCTAGAGAGTAGGCAAATTCTAGTGGTCCACTGTAGATATACTGACAGAAAAACAAAAATCAGAAACAACAACAACAAAAATTCAAGGAATCAACACTAACTTCACAACTAACACTTTTATTTGGAACGAGACAATTTTTTTCCAATAAATGGACAGAAACATAAGTACAAAAAAGTGGAGAAAGTTTTTTAAGC